GGCCTACTGTGATTTATTCCAAAGTGACTTATATGATGCATTTAACGTCAAATAATCTAAATGAAGCCTTTTAAAAGACAAGTATTCGCTGTGGTTCATGTTTGTGGCATGCACCAGAAAGATGCTCAAGGAGACCGAGACGCGCTAAAGCAGCGCATTCTGTTGTTCTGTTTATTTTTCAAAGGCATTTTGTAGTTATTTTGAACGTAACGTTACACGAATAAAAATATACATTTTACCATACGACTATAGATTACAGAGTATTAAGTTATTTCCTCTCGATGGGGAAAAAATCCAAGTGAACCAATCAGTACTCAATATTAATTTAAACTGCATTAAATATGACTGCTGCTTATTTCCTGTGCACTTCTGCGCTTGTCTGCACTTGACTGTAGTCGCGTCTGTCTGCTTATTGAGTTTATTTAACCCATCGCAATTTATTGGAACTGTCTGAACTAGAGTGACTACTCACCTTAAAATTAATTAATTAATTAATTAAACAAACAGACTTACTGGGTGAACAGAGTAGGCTATGACAGATGTCATATCATACCCTGCCATGCCCAGCTGATGCAAAGAATAGAATTTATATCTACACAGAAGAAAGCCCTGTCTAGACTCTGCCCCGGTATGAATTGTGTCGAGCTATTCATTAGCCTGTTTGTTTAAAAAACGAAAATTTAAGCTGAATTCTCGTTTTTCGTTTTTTGGAAAAAAAACGAAAAAGGAGCCGTTTTCTCATTTTTCTACTTTCAATATTAAATCAAAAAATTAATGATCAAATGATACACGGATTCTAGTGTTTGTTTGTTTGTTTGTTTTTTGTTTTTAATAAAAAAAGATGATAAATATAGATAAAGTAGAATTAAAATAGAATAGAAAGTGCTAGAGTTAGAGGGTCAGATAAAGGTGGAACAGATGTGTTTTTAGTCGTTTCTTGAAGATGCTTAAGGACTCAGCTCTGTTAGACATGCTGAGATGCGAGCAGCTATCGTCGGATCATCAGGATGGAATGAGCGGTAGAGTTGAGTGTCATCAGCATAGCAGTGATATATAGGGTATAATTACTTTCCTGCCTGTTATGATTAAAATGTATTTTAATTTTTTTTTTAAATATTTATTTCTTCCCCTTTTCCCCCTAATGTATGTTTGAGACTGTATCTGTATGTTTCTGGACATTGGAGTAACCGACGAATAAAAATGAATAAATGCAATTTGTCCTCAAGGAATATTACAAAATAATAAAAAATGCATCTTATGAGCCCTTTAATGACTATTACCGTCTTGATTTTTAGATCGGGATCAGTGCTGTACATGTGAAGCTTCCACGGACTGCAACTGAAAATGAGGTAGGACAGCTTCACTTGAAGGAGTCATTAACCATTAATCCATGTTTTATGTTTGCTATTAACAGCTGTTTCAGATTTTGCTATTTATAATTAACTGATACATATTCTGAAGGTTATGCGCCGTGTAATGGAAGTCAATGAGGACTCCAAAATTCATGGGCTCATAGTCCAGCTGCCCCTTGACTCCGTCCACACTATTAATACAGAAAGGATTATCAACAGCGTGGCTCCAGAGAAAGATGTGGATGGGTACAGAAAATAATTCACTCTTGAACAACATGCCATTAAATTGTTATTCTGATTTAACATTACTTTCAACAGATTGTTTTGTGCTCCATTCAATAATGAAACCTGTTTAAATTATTAAAGAAAGTCTGTTTCTTTGCTTGCTTCAGATTGACGTGTATAAATGCAGGGAAACTGGCACGTGGTGATCTTGGAGACTGTTTTATCCCATGTACTCCTAATGGATGTATGGAGCTCATCAAACAAACAGGTGAGACAAACACCTCAAGAATTCAGTCAGGGTAGGGCTGTCAATTGATTAAAAAAATTTATCAAATTTATTATGTATGCTAAATAATTCATTTATTTGCTGAGATGTGTGAAATGTGCATGAGTGGATCTTGAACTTTTGCCTCAAACTCCTAGTTTGCTACTAATTTTAGTTTGCTATTAATAGTTAGTAAGGTAGTTAAGTTTGGGTATGGGGTAGAATTAAGGGATCTAAAATATGGTCATGCAGAATAAGGCATTAATATGTGTTTAAATAGCAGGTCCTTAAATGAAAACAATCTGCAAAGTTGTTAATGTGCATGATAAATAAAGATATCGTCTCTCAAAAGAGAGAGTCGATTCTGAATCGCCTTAACGAGTCGTCATATTTTCTGCCTGTTACCGGTATACGTCACTGGGTAACACATTTGCATAATAGCCGCCTGCCTGCAAAATACGAGCAGAGTCTGACCTGCCCACAAACACTTCCACTAGTTAGTGTGTTTACATCATGTTGAAAAGACGCTGTGTTCAAGGATACCACAGAAATACAATTCAAACCTTTTGTTGTGTGCATGTCATTTTACCAAGGACTGCTTCTCTAATCTTGGCTTTTATCTTCGTTGACTTCTATCTTCTTAATTTGTACTAACAAGCTCTCCGAAGCACAACCTGTAAGTACGATTGATACGTTATGTGTACATTTTCAATTGAGTGATCAAAATATCAAGTTTTTTGTGCTAATATGTGATGTACACCTAGTGCAGCTTTAGGTTTCAAGGTAAAGCACGATCTTACTGAAGTAGTTCTGATAATTCGATGTGAACCCACTATTTCCTAAGAATGTGTTGATTAATGTAGACTGACGTTGTTCTAATTACTTCGTTTAATAATAAAGAATGTAGTGTAGCGCACAGACTTTATTATCATTGTGAAATTGCTGTTTATTTTGCTGCACTGGCAGTTATAGGGTTAATGCGGGACGAGCGAGTT